GACAACCAAAAATTTGGGATTTTTCTTTTACTTTCAGTAATAATGGTAAACAAGAAAAGTAGAGAGGGTGCGTTTCCCTAATGGGGACACAGACAGCGATAAAATCTTCTAATCCCTTTCCACTCTATCCAAAACAAAAAAAAAAAATTTCCTTTTAGGTATATTATCAGTTTTAAAATGTTACTAAACCAAGGGTGCTGCATTCACTATATCTGGTCTCAATGCAGTACACACAACATGGAAGCACAGTTATTTTAGTAATATATAATCTGCTAAATACCTTTTCTCATCAGCAGTTACAGCAGTCTTGTGACTTCTCTCAGTGTTCAGCAGAGCGCTGGGTAAAGCTTGTAGGAGGAATTTTCTTTCTGCTCTAGGAGGATGCAGAACCCCTGACCTTTGTCTGAACAGTGCTGGGTGTCCCTGTGCTGATCACATGCACTCTCCAAAGAGAAAAAAAAAAAAAAAAAAAAAACCTCTAGCAATACACACTAAACTGAGCATGTGCAGAATGGCTAAGATTCAGTCTGTCTTATCAGGAGATAAGGCATGGACATTTGAACAAGAGGTGGAGCAGAGAAGTCAGGATCAAACAACCTTTTTACACAACGCAGAGGATTAACCACATAGGTTCCACAGTGAGTATAACAAGCATGATTTACTGCATTTATTAATACTTTAATGGCTTTCTATAAATTATTTCTACCAATTATTTGCCTGCATCAAGCCTAATCATTTAGGATTTGCTGCGTGTAAAGAAAACAAGTAAAAGAGAGCAAGAGAAAGAATGGAGCAATATGCATGAGTACAGAGGATCCAAGTGTCATATTTGAATCTTTTATCCCTCTGCACACAGACCCCACAACGTCCGGGCCAGGGTTGTAGGGAAGAGGCCCTTGTCCTCAACATGGGTGCAAGGTACTTTGTCAGGGGGATCCCTAATGACAAGGAACCCCTTCCCCCCCCCAATGTCATGGGCATGTAGCCTGGTATGGTTCAGGAGGTGGGCCTCACGCTTTTCTCCCGCTTTCTTGGCCAATCAGTCTGCATGCGCGGATAAGGATTTGGCATGGATTTTGGAGAGAAATCCAATTAATTTCCTTTTTCTTTTTTTCCTTTTTTTTGGTGTGGGGGTTCCCCCTTTAAAATCTATACAATCATTATGACTAAGGCCCTTAAAGTGTTACTAAACCCAGGACCCTGCATTCACTATACCTGGTCTCCCACAGTACACACAACATGGAAATGCAATTATTTTAGTACATATAAACTGTTAAACACCTTTTCTCATCAGCACCTGGAGCAGTCTTGTGACTTCTATCACTGTCAGGCCAAGCACTGGTTAAAACTTGGAGGAGGAGTTTTCATTCTTCTGTGATTGTCACATGAGGCTGCATATCCCTTGACCCTCTCTGGACAGTGCTGATTGGCACTGTGCTGATCACATGCACTCTCCCCCCCCCCCAAAAAAAAAAAAACTAGCAATGAACTCCAAAGTGAGCATGTGCAGCTTACCCCCAAGGCTCTGTTTTGTCAGCAGATGGACAGTAGAAGATGGGGAGGATCAGAGAAGACAGGATCAAACTTCCTGTTCACACAATGCCGAGGATTAACTGCTTAGGTTCCACAGTGTAACAAGCTTAGGTAACAAGCATGCTCTACTGCATACAGAGGGTAAAATAAGTATTGAACACGTCACCATTTTTCTCAGTAAACATATTTCTAAAGTTGCTATTGACATGAAATTGTCACCACATGTCGGTAACAACCCATGCAATTCATACATACAAAAAAAACAAAACAATGTGTAATAAAATGGACACAGGAAAAAAGTATTGAACACGCTGTTATTTAATACTTCATACAAAATCCTTTGTTGATAAAGGCCACTTCAATGTCAGCATCAGGACACCGCCTGTATAGAGAAACTAGTCACGTGCATTGCTCAGGTGTGATATTGGCCCATTCTTCCACACAGTCTTCAAATCTTAAAGGTTCTGTGGGCCTCTTCTATGAACTGTGATCTTTAGTTTTTTTCCATAGATTTTCTATTGGATTCATGTCAGGTGATTGACAGGGTTATTCTAGCAGCTTTATTTTCTGCCATTGAAACCAATTGAGAATTTCCTTGGCTTTGTGTGTTTTGGGATCATTGGCTTGCTGAAATTTCCACTCCATCATTCTGGTAGATGGCAGATTTTTATCAGGAATGTCTTGGTAATTTTTTCCATTCATCCTTCATTCAATAATATGAAGTATTTCAGTATCATATGCTGAAAAACAGCCCCACACCATGATGTTCCCACCTCCAAACTTCCCTGTTGGTATGGTGTTTTGGGGGTGATGTGCAGAGCCTCTAAACCTCCAAACATGGTGTGTATTATGGCATCCAAAGAGTTCAATTTTGGTCTCATCTGACCAGACTATAATTCTCCCAGTATTTCACAGGCTTGTCTAAATGTTGTGCAGCAAACTTTAAACAAGCTTCAACATGCTTTTTTTTTCTTCCACAATGGAGTCTTGCGTGGTGAGCATGCATACAGGCCATGGCAGTTGAAATGCATTACTTATTGATTTCTTTGAAGCAATTGTACCTGCTAATTCCATGTCTTTGTGAAGCTCTCCACAAGTGGCCCTTGGCTCGTAGACAGCTCTTCTAATAATTCTTTTTCACTACTCTGTTAGAAATCTTGCGCGGAGCATCTGGTCATGACCGGTTTATGGTGAAATGATGTTCTTTTCCACTTCCAGATTATGGCCCCAACAGTGCTCACTAGAACTTTCAGACGCTTAGAAATCCTTCTGTAACCAAATGCCATCAGTAATGTTTTGCAACAAAAAGGATGCGACGGTCTTGAGAGAGCTCTTTGCTTTTACCCATCGTATGTGATGCCTTGGTAATCTGACACCTTTTTATAGGCCATCATTTGTGACTGAACCAGCTGATATTAATTTGTACTGACAAGGGGCAGGATTGCTTTCTAATTATTGATAGATTTCAGCTGGTGTTTTGGCTTTCCATGCTTTTTGCACCTCCTTTTCTTTGTGTTCAAATACTTTTTTCCTGTGTCATTCTGTTTTATTACACTTAACCACTTCCTGTCCGGACACTTTTACCCCCTCCTGTCCAGCCAATTTTCAGCTTTCAGTGCTATCACACTTTGAAGGACAATTGTGCGGTCATGCAGCACTGTACCCATATGAATTTTTTAGTATTTGTTTGAGACAGATAAAGCTTTATTTTGGTGGTATTTATTCACCACTGGGATTTTTTTATTTTTTTTTTGCTATGTAAATAAAGTAAAAAAATTTGAAAAAAATGCTTTTCTTATATAATTTTGCAAATAAATAATATTTCATCATAAATCTTGGCCAAAATTTATTCCGTTTATCTTTTTAGTAAAAAAAAAATAACCCAAATTAGTTTATAACCAAACAGTATAATTTTTAAACATTTTTTTTTACATTTTTTATTTTATTTTTTTATGTTTGTTTTACATACTGTCACTCTAGCAGTACAGTGCCACAATGGTGACACTACTACTTGTGGGGGGTGAAGTTTTTTTTTTTTTTTACACTGATTGCTTTTACACCCATAAAGGCTGTAAAAGCAATTATTTCTCCTCTCTGGCTGCATTTTTGCAGCCATTGAGAACTCTACTGTGTGAGCTGTGATTGGCCACAGCTTGTCACATGGTACAAGGCTGTTGTGAATAGCCTTGTACCATGTGACCCGTGATCATTCACAGTTTCACACGTAGTAAGCAATGTCAGAAGTGACATTTTGCTTACTACTCTGCATGTGATCACTGATTGGCCAATCAGTGATCATATGATTGGGACCTCGCATAGAGGTCCCGTACAAAACGATCGGTGTTCCACTGTGTCCGGAGGACACAGCGGTGCACCGGATCGTAGTGCTGCGTTCTCACCAGGGAGCATGCACAAGCAAGGGGCGGGGAGGCCGTTTAAAAACGGCCACCTGACCCTGCACTGCCACCGTCCGGCCATTTATATACAACTGCCAGACAGGAGGTGGTTAATCTTTGAACTTATTTGTTTTGGTTTCTTTATATGTATGGATTGTATGAGTTGTTACCGATTATGTGGTGAAAATGTCATGTCAATAGAACCTTTAGAAATATACTGACTGAGAAAAATGGTGACTTGTTCAATACTTATTTTACCAGCTGTATACAGCCTGATTTTACTGTTGTGGGTTTAGCAGCACTTTATTAGGGCAGAAACATGTCAGTGTTTTCTACATAGACTGGCATATACTATTGTACCTTCTCCTGCAATATTAAATCTAGGGCTTGTAGCACCACAAGTTTTTCTTATTTTGACTTAACATGTTTAAAGTTCAAGTTTAGGCATGACAATGTTTACATCATTTAATTGCTCCAGCTTGGACCAATGTAAGTATGTATGTGCCATACCTTATGGAAGCTGGAAATCAATGTAGTAGACATCACTACTACAGTGATCTCCCCTAATGACTGGATCCCATGGCAAGTGGCTGTCCTGCTGCTTACTGAACAAGGTTGTCACTCCCTTGGCACAGGAACCATTCAGAGAACATTTGCCTTTTCTCAGCAACTGCAAAGTGTTCTCTTACTGACAGGTGATGATTGTGACTAGAGATGAGCGAAGTATTCAAAAATTCGATTCGTCGGCTGATTCAAGGAATAAATTCGATTGAGGCGAATATATATACGCTGCGAATTTAACTTTAAAAAGGTTTTCTAGGGCTTCAGGGAGAGCCTTTTATATTAGTGCAGAACACTGTACCTTAATTTAAATGCCCTTGGAGTCTGCAGGGGAAGAGAAATAATACTGTCAGTCAGTATGACAGTATGCATGCAATGAGTGCCGTCGATCTTAGAATCACCGCACACTTCACTCATTTTGGCAGTCACGGGTCCAAAACCAGAGTGTGGAGCCACAGTGTGGCGGTGGAGGTGGAGCAGCAGCAATGGGAGGCCATACAGCACCCTATGACAAAATGGAACCCACCAGCAGTGTGAGGAGACCTGAAAGTGGCAAATGGCAGAGTGTGGCGATGGAGACAGCAGCAATGGGAGGCCGTACAGGGACCCATGAGACACTCTGGACCTGGCAGCAGCATGAGGAGGCGTACAGGGCCCATGACAGATTACGGGCCTGGCAGCAAGCATGAGGAGTCGGTACGGGGGCCCATGGCAGATAACGGGCCCTGCAGCAGCAATGGGAGGCCCGTAATCTGCCAGCACCCTATGACAAAAATGGAACCCACCACCAGCAGTGTGAGGAGACCTGAAAGTGCACATGCAGAGTGTGGCGATGGAGAGAGCAGCAATGGGAGGCCGTACAGGGACCCATGAGACACTCTGGACCTGGCAGCAAGCATCATGAGGAGCGGTACAGGGGCCCATGACAGATTACGGGCCTGGCAGCAGCAATGGGAGGCCCGTAATCTGCCAGCACCCTATGACAAAAATTGAAAGTACACCACCAGCAGTGTGAGACCTGAAAGTGGCACATGGCAGAGTGTGGCGATGGAAGGGGACAGCAGCAATGGGAAGGAGCCGTACAGGGACCCCATGAGAGACTCCTGGACCTGGCAGCAGCATGAGGAGGCGGTACAGGGGCCCATGGCAGATTACGGGCCTGGCAGCAGCAATGGAGGCCCGTAATCTGCCAGCACCCTATGACAAAATGGAACCCACCAGCAGTGTGGAGGAGACCTGAAGTGGCACATGGCAGAGTGTGGCGATGGAGACAGCAGCAATGGGAGGCCGTACAGGGACCCATGAGAGACTCTGGACCTGGCAGCAGCATGAGGAGGCGTACAGGGGGTACCCATGGCAGATTACGGCCTGGCAGCAGCAATGGGAGGCCCCGTAATCTGCCAGCACCCTATGACAAAATGGAACCCACCAGCAGTGTGAGGAGACCTGAAAGTGGCACATGGCAAGAGTGTGGCGATGGAGACAGCAGCAATGGGAGGCCGTACAGGGACCCATGACAGATTACGGGCCTGGCAGCAGCATGAGGAGGCGGTACGGGGGGCCCATGGCAGATTACGGGCCTGGCAGCAGCAATGGGAGGCCCGTAATCTGCCAGCACCCTATGACAAAATGGAACCCACCAGCATGTGAGGAGACCTGAAAGTGGCACATGGCAGAGTGTGTCGATGGAGACAGCAGCAATGGGAGGCCGTAACAGGGACCCATGACAGATTACGGGCCTGGCAGCAGCATGAGGAGGCGGTACAGGGGCCCATGACAGATTACGGGCCTGGCAGGGCCAGCAATGGGAGGCCCGTAATCTGCCAGCACCCTATGACAAAATGGAACCCACCAGCATGTGAGGAGACCTGAAAGTGGCACATGGCAGAGTGTGGCGATGGAGACATGGGCCCCCTGGCCACGCTTGACTTTCTGGCCACATAGTCCGACATACGGCTACGTTTACTTCCTCGGGCGGCTTGACGAAAAATTGCCACACCCAGCCGAGTAGGAAACTTTGCCCCCCGCTACTCCTCACTGCTGACTGCTACTTCCTCCCCCCTGCACACTGGCACCACTACTGGCCGTGTGTGTAGACTGCAGTGGAGCTGTGCTCTACTCCGTGGCCCGTTTGCCTCCACTGACACTGCTGCGACCCTGCTGCCTCCTGGGCAACCCACCGACCTGTTTTGCTCGCTGCCAAGCTGGCACCCTCTTCTCCTGATGATGCGGAAGCAATAGCCTGATGACGACGAGGCTGCCAAGTGCGATCACCTCATCATCACTCAATTAGGGTCTCCGCCTCACTACTAGCCCCTCGGCTGCGTGTGGGTCAGGAGACAGACCTGTGTCTAGACCCGGCTACCGAGCCACTCTCCTCGCCAGTTACTTCTTCGCCTGGCTTTGCTGAAGAGGCGGATGTCTCCCCCCGTTCCTGACCGCCCTCACTTAGCTCTTCCTCACTGTACATGGGGCTCAGCCCACAGCATGCGATACTTCGCTTTACCGGTGAGGGAACACCAAAGGACAGGGCAGGTTGGAGGACACGTGATATTCAGTGGCTTGCTCCCGGGCTATGCCAACTAACGGTTGTGTCTGACGTACCCACCGACCGTTGGCTGTAGGTGTCAGAGGTACCTGGGAAGAGGAAGACGACCGAGCCAAACCAATCGATGACGGCAGGGTTGTCGGTGGAGACACGACCGCTGGATGACACCGGGAGCACTGGCCTCTGGCTGCGACTAGTGCTTGCCTCGACCCCTTCCTCAGCTCTTGCCCACGTCTGCTCGCTCCTAAAACATGGCCTCCTCTGGACACTCCTCTGCGTTTGTCTGACATACTCTTTAATTCAACGATTCTGTGTCCCTGAGTAACGAGGTCTGTGTCCCTGAGTAACAGTTCTGTGTCCCTGAGTAACAGTTCTGTGTCCCTGAGTAACAGTTCTGTGTCCCTGAGTAACAATTCTGTGTCCCTCAGTAACAATTCTGTTCTGTCCCTCAGTAACAATTCTGTGTCCCTGAGTAACAGATTCTGTGTCCCTGAGTAACAATTCTGTGTCTCTGAGTAACAATTCTTGTGTTCCCTCATAACAATTCTGTGTCCCTCAGTAACAATTCTGTGTCCCTCAGTAACAATTCTGTGTCTGTCCCTGAGTAACAATTCTGTGTCCCTCAGTAACAATTCTGTTGTCTGTCCCTGAGTAACAGTTCTGTGTCCCTGAGTAACAGTTCTGTGTCCCTGAGTAACATTGCTTGTGTCCCTGAGTAACAGTTCTGTGTCCCTGAGTAACAGTTCTGTGTCCCTGATAGTAACAATTCTGTGTCTCTCTTGAGTAACAATTCTGTGTCCCTGAGTAACAATTCTGTGTCCCTCAGTAACAATTCTGTGTCCCTCAGTAACAATTCTGTGTCTGTCCCTGAGTAACAATTCTGTGTCCCCTCAGTAACAATTCTGTCTGTCCCTGAGTAACAATTCTGTGTCCCCTGAGTAACAGTTCTGTGTCCCTGAGTAACAGTTCTGTGTCCCTGAGTAACAATTCTGTGTCTGTCCCCTGAGTAACAAATTCTTGTCCCTCAGTAACAATTCTGTGTCCCTCAAGTAACCAATTCTGTGACTGTCCCTGAGTAACAATTCTGTGTCCCTGAGTAACACATTCCTGTGTCCCTGAGTAAACAGTTCTGTGTCCCTGAGTAACAATTCTGTGTCCCTGATAACAATTCTGTGTCCCTCAGTAACAATTCTGTTCCCTCATAAAAATTCTGTGTCCCTCAAGTAACAATTCTGTGTCTGTCCCTGAGAAACAATTCTGTGTCTCTCAGTAAACAATTCTGTGTCTGTCCCTGAGTAACAATTCTGTGTCCCTGAGTAACAGTTCTGTGTCCCTGAGTAACAGTTCTGTGTCTTCCTGAGTAACAGTTCTGTGTCCCTGAGATAACAATTCTGTGTCCCTGAGTAACAATTCTGTGTCCCCCAGGTAACAATTCTGTGTCCCTCATAACAATTCTGTGTCCCTCAGTAACAATTCTGTGTTCCTCAGTAACAATTCTGTGTCCCTCAGTAACAATTCTGTGTCTGTCCTCATAACAATTCTGTGTCTGTCCCTCAGTAACAATTCTGTCTGTCCCTCAGTAACAATTCTGTGTCTGTCCCTCAGTAACAATTCTGTGTCCCTGAGTAACAATTCTGTGTCCCTGAGTAACAGTTCTGTGTCCCTGAGTAACAGTTCTGTGTCCCCTGAGTAACAGTTCTGTGTCCCTGAGTAACAATTCTGTGTCTGTCCCTGAGTAACAATTCTGTGTCCCTCAGTAACAATTCTGTGTCCCTCATAACAATTCTGTGTCTGTCCCTGAGTAAACAGTTCTTGTCCCCTGAGTAACAGTTCTGTGTCCCTCAGTAACAATTCTGTGTCCCTCAGTAACAATTCTGTGTCTGTCCCTGAGTAACAGTTCTGTGTCCCTAAGTAACGATTCTGTGTCCCTAAAGTATCTGTGGCCCTAACTCTGTCCCTAATACAGAGAGGTCTGTCTCGCTTGAATGACCGGAGGCAAATGGAGAATGTAAGATGGCCGCAATTTATAGCTCCACCATTACACAGTGCTGGCTGGCTGGCTGCTGATTGGCTAATCGATCACATGTCATGAATGAATGCAATTCGGCGCGAATCAAATTTTTTCGAATATTCGAAACGAATTCCACTTCGCCAAGTTCGATTCGCTCATCTCTAATTGTGACATCACTGCCCAATCTCTCCACCGTGTCCATTCAAAGCCTGTGTTGACAGTGTAGTAGAGCAGTAGCTCAGCACAGTATGCGGAAACTAGTGAAGGTCACTGCCACATACAGTAGATACATACTTACTTTTGGTCCAAGCTTGATCAATGTATGTAAAAGCTGCCATACCATACTTTCTGCCTTAAATTTATATTCTGGTGAGTTTGTTCATCTACTTTAAGAAATGTTTTCCCCTTTTGAGATATATAGTATTTATCTGAAAAGAATTCAGGGTATTTTTTTTTTTTTTCCACTGGATCCAAAAAAAATTCCAGACACAGAACTTTGTTAATCTCAAACACCTTAAATCAGAATTACTGGACGTAAAGAATTTAAACAACACATTCTTAAACCAATAAAGATTTTTTCAAAATTCTTAGTTTTGTCATTTTTTCTGTTACAACTGAACCTAGAAGTGCTTGCAATGGTCTCTTTGACATGGGTCAGGTTCTTGAATAGCCTCTTTGTAAGACCAGTGGCCACCCTTCCCTCTCCTTGACTGACCACTGGTTATGTCATTGCCCATCTATAGTTTATTCCAATCACCAGTGATGTGATTACACTGTTTTTGCTGTGGAATGTTCTGGGTTACCAATTGTCTCCTGATCTGCCCTGCCCTGCCCTGCTCATTCACAAGAGCATGACTTGTAAAAAGAGCTTGATGTAAACACCCACCTACAACCCTACCCATCGCCATCACTAATCCCAAAGCCTTATTGGACTTCAGTGATCCCTCCTCCCAGATGCTGTAAGTTTTAATTAACTAAATAAAATGAGCTGAGCACCCATACATAGCGCTCTTGAGCACAGCGCTCAACTCAGAAAAACTTTCATTGAAAGAAAACTATGTAACCAATGTAGCAAAAAAGATAACTGAGCAAAAGTAATAAATTGGAAACAAACTAAGTGTAAATAAATAAGTCTAGTGAAAAACATCAGAACAGCTGAACATATTTCACTAACATTGAAGTGTGCCGCTGCTAATAAAGGAACAGTGTATCCACCTGTGAGAATACAAAGAAGGGAAGGGGAAAACAGCGCAAGCACTATGGTGTCGTAATATTTCCTTGAAACGTGTTCTTGTTGCACTGTACAGTCTTCTGAAGTGGCCATTGGGCTGCATTCACACTTGAGTGATTTGTAGCTGGATGCTCGAAGCTCCAAAAATGCTCAAACTTAAAAAAAAAAAAAAAAAAATCAATTGTTCTCTATGTTGCCTGCTAGCATGATCAGGTGTGAACAGGCACTATAGATAAAAATCGAGTGTTTTTTTTGGGAGTTTTTGGCGCTTCAAGGTAAAAATTGCTCAAGTGTGAATGCAGTATCAATGCGCAACAATCGTCTAGAGCAAGACCACACTGTCAGGATACCAAGTTGCTGCAGAGCTGCATCGTGGAGCTTTCATATACCCAGCAATCTGGACGCTGAGATTTTGGCAGCTCTCCTGACACGTGGAGAGTGAGCTGACAACCAGCCTGCTCCGCTGCATGTTACATTGCTCTGGATATTTTTCACTGTTGTGAGTAGGACCAATTTTTTTTTTTTAACTGCTCAATGCTTTT